TTCTTAGGAGGCACTATCCTACAAATCCCATACGGCTCAGCCTCTGGTCTGATCTTATATATATACTCCAATGGGTCTCTAAATTCATCTTCAGTTGGATAAAACGCAGGTCCAGATGGTATATTCAATGAAGCAGATGAACATACACTCAAATTTTGCCCTAAAACCCCCTTTTCCACAGCTCTTGGTCTTCCTTTCCCCATTAAAACTAACCACACTTGTATCAAAAGTTCTTCATATACACACAATCATATATCTAACAAAAAAACAAACATGAAAAGCTCAATATAACACTATTGGACATGGAAAAACATGAAGCTGCAACGCTTCTTCTTACAGAGATAGTACCTTCGTTTTTCAGTGTGTAAGAGAGAAGAAGACTTGCTCTGAGCTTTTTTCTTTCCTTTGTGTCGATGGAAGATAGTTTTCGTGAGGGATTTGGTTGAAACAAAACGGAAAAGTGAAGGGTTTATAAAAGCTCCCCTCAATTTCCAATTTCAGGGTCTAGACTTCTACTAAATTACTAAAATGCCACTCCATTTTTACTTTTTGGGCTTTATTTATTGGGCCGCGTATTTCAAATCGCTTTCTTCTCTTCGCAACCTCACGCGCGCGTACGGCACGTTCTCCTACTCCCCGCCTCTTAATTTTCATGGACGGTAGCGCGTGGTAATATGCGCGTGGGATTTTGGTGAGACCTCACCGCCGAAGACTTCTGACACGTGGCTGTGATCGGATGGCTAGTGGACTTGATCGAACGGTTGAATTGGTAAATTGACTTATTGAGTTTTTTATTCCGTACGAAGACTTGACCGTGGTATTGGCTCTTTAACCGAAGTTTTAGATTCTTTTTGCAATCAATTTAACTTCAACAATATTTTTAATAATTGATATTTTAAATCATTTATCTAATAACAGAAATTTAAAAATAATAATAATAATATATTAAACTGGTGTGAATTATTAAATTAATATGACCCGAACTACCCAACCCAAACCATAAAAGGTTGGATTTGGTTAGATTTTTATTAAATTTTTGAAAACCAGGAAATCCGTTAAATTAAGAAGTTGACGTCTTTTTGGTCGGGTCAACATGAACATCTCAAGAATGGGCTATACCCCAACTCAACCCTACCCTACATTTTAACGTTTGTAACCGATGTTAGGATGGTTTGTGATTTGTAATGTTTGATACTTGAACTTTTATGAGATTTTAGGTATTAACGTAACGTAGATAAATATAATTTTTTAATAAATTAAGAAAAAAAAAACAAAATAGCACGAGCCTACCACTAATCGTTATTGTCCTTTTCGAACTTTCTCTTTTGGGCTTCCCTCGAGATTTTAAAACGTGTGTTTTTCCACACCCTTGTAAAGAATGATTTGTTCCGCTCTCCAACCGATGTTGATGTTGCAGCATTGATTCCTCTTCAGAAAGATCTTGAGGTTACTTGCTCCCCTCCTCTTTTCTCTATCTCGAAACAATATATTGATCCCACAAAAGTTTTGGTTGTATACGTATTTTATTTTTAAGAAAATGTTGACATTCATATTGCTCTGGTTGTCTCTCTGTATCGATCCAGAAGCCATGATCACTATAATGAGCTCACGGTTAATTCTTTGTTGTAGAATGGATGTGACAGCCATACATGAGATCTTAGAAGCGATCGAGTACAAGGACAATGAGGATGTAGTGTCGGAGGTTTGTTTCTGACAAATAACTTCAAATCAAAAGAGTATCAGTTGAATTATCTCCTAGTAGATTGTGAGATTTCACATCGGTTGGAAAGGGGAACAAAGTATTCTTTATAAGGATGTGGAAACCTCTTCATAGCAGACACGTTTTAAAACCGTGAGGGGAAGTCCATTTACAAGAGTGTGAAAACATTTCCCTAGTTGAGGCGTTTTAAAAGCTTGAGAGGAAGTCCAGAAGTATGTTTGATATCTGCTAGTGGTAGGTTTGAGCTGTTACATAATACGTAGGAGAATCCGACCATTCAACCACTTGATTACAATTGATTGAGGTTGGAACCACTGTTTCTCCAACAGTATTTGCACGTAGAAGGAAGCTCTTGATGATGCAATGCAAGCCCAACCAATATCTCCTCTTTCGCATGTTGCTTCATATCTCTCAGCTTCTACACTTTTCGCCCTCCGAAACCAAAATGAGCCACATGTAGCGTTCCGAGAGGGCTCGGTCCTCGAAACTAACTAAAAAGAACACAACGACCTAAAATTAGTAGAATGAAAGACAAAGTTCTCTCCATTCATATTGTTCTTCTAAAGATGAGAGCAGACACGATGTCGTACCTAGCACAGAACATGTCTCGAAGGTCGACCACATCTAGAGTAATGAAAAGAGAGAAATGGAGATACTCTTACCCCACCATGATTCGTTCATATTGTCCAAGTCGAAGCTTTAACATCATTTCTGGTTCACTGCTATTATTATTTAAAAAAAAAATTAAAATTAATTAATTAATATTTTAGCATTTGTTAAATATTCATTAATGAATTTTGAATCATAGCTAAAATAAATAAATTATATATATAAACCTATAACTTTAACGTTATTATTATTTAAAAAAAATAAATTGGTCATTATTATTATTTAAAAAATAAATTAAATTCATATCCGTTAATCATTATTACTGCTATTTTTTTTTTTAAAGAAAATCTAAATTGGTCAATATTATTAATTACTTTTAATTTCCGCCCTCAATTTCCCTTTTTCTATTTTAACTCATCAATTCTATATTTCACAACCCTCAATTCTCAAATTTTCAAGACGTTTATTATTATTCTCACGAAAACTTCTGATTCTATGGTTTTCGATCTTTAAAATTTTATTCAGGGATATTTATATTGTATTGCGAATGATATCGCTGTGAATATTTCAATCAGTTGTAAATTTCATGTTCAAGAGAATTGATATATGTTTCTCAAAATTCCAACACTTGTAACGATTTGATTTTGAGTCGTAAAAAAGATTAAATTTGTTCTTGAACTTGTAAAAAGAACACTATTGTGGTTTTGGTTTGATCGGTGAAAAAGGTAACGCTGGAAGAATAGAGTAGGTTGAATATGATCAAGCCGCTATAAAATTAAGGTATTTTATTTTCTAATTCTATACAATAAATATTTTAAGATTTTGAATTATTATTTTTTATATATTTGTTGGGTTCAGTGTTGTCATTCTTAATTGTTCTAAAAAAAATTGATAATTGAGAAAAATTAAACATACTTTAAATACCTGTAGTATGCTTAATTTTTTTTTTTTTTTTTTTTTTAACTATTGAACAATTAAAAATTATAACGAAGACAACAAACATAATAAAAAATAAAAATAAAAAAATTATGAAAAAATTAAATATACAATAATTAACCATAACTAAGAAAATATAACTGTATAATTGTGGTTCGTTTTGTCAAACTCTACCCAATCGTATTTAAAAAATTTGAATAATTTTTTTTTTTTACTTTTTTACTACGGATCATAGCAAAACTATTACACCGCTCTTTTTACGAGTTCAAGAGCGAATTCAATTATTTTCACGACTCAAAATCAAACTGTTAAAAATATTGAAATTTTGAGAAACACAATCCAACTCTCTTAAAGAGTAGATTTACAATCGGAGTACTCATAACAATATTCTCACGTTACAATATAAATATTTTATTATTTTAAGAATAAGAGGAGAGAAATAAAATAAAATTAGAAGTTTGGAATTTGAGGATTTTAAACATTTTAGAAAGTGTTGTGAAATATGGAAAAAATGTGAAGATTAAAAATAAATGATAATAATATTATAATATTATATAAATAATAAACTAAAAAAAGGGGAAAAGTGACCCAATACACTATAAATATAAAATAGTAGTAGTGATAATAATAGTCTTAATTAAAAGATTGTTCTTTGAATAATATAGTTATTAACCTAAACTCAAACAATAAAATTCATTAAAGAAATTACAAAAGCAACCTTGCTCAGATAACAAGTATTAGATCGATAAAACAACCCTAAATATGGTAGGCAGAGTTGTCATATCGATCAAACAATAGAAACACTTTTATCGAGCAATTCAAAATATGCTAGAGTTGTAAATGACATAGCGTTTCTCACTGCAAAGCTTTAGTTAAGGTGCACGTGGTCTTACTATCTAACCGTTAGTATCCCGCATCTTCACAGAGAATTCAATTTCACAGGATCTATGTCAGAAACAATAAGACAGTCATTCCAACTATTCGTGCAGGTCACTACTTACACACATTAGACTCAATAGAATTTGATCAACCCTTTTCCCCATCTTAACTATAACCCATTTATTCAAGACGAAGACCGAGTTGGTGTACTAATTACATGATATTACTTATTCGCCCCTCCCAAAGAGGATGGAACCTATTATACAGAAACTGTTTATACAGCAGGGAATCACAAGCAATTCATTAAACTTTTCATCATACTTACAGAACTGACGCAACAAAAAAAACTTAGCACATCAATACACCCAAACCCATATCATCAAACAAGAACTTATTCACCACAAAGCCCACATTCTTGGCTACTCAGTTGTGGATTTGAATTGGATTAGTGGAGTAAAAATGGGTTTTGAGATTGTTGGGTTTGGTGGGATGCTTGACATTTTAGCCATTAGAAGTGGATTTGCACCCTAAAATTGATGTTTTTTGCTGCTAATTTGGTGAAGATTTTGACTTAACTCATCGCCCATATCCACAATTAACATTAATAATTGAAGAACAATAATGAACTAAAATGGCCAACAAAACAGAGATAAGAAAACAATTCAAAATTACACCTAACCAACTTATATCATGTACTATTGTCTCTAACCATCATTTTTTTTTTCAACCATTAAATCTCCAATAATTCTACCAAAAACATGAAGGAATCGAGAAGAATCCACACTTATTTTTGTCCATTTGTTTAAATTGACACCTAAAACAGTTGGGAGTTTCATTTTCTTAGAAGACCTAAGGATGGACAGAATGTTTATTGATTACTGTCAATGACATGACAGAAAAATGGCTCAATAAGAGCTCTGATTCTTCACTACAATGAACATCCTCTAGTCTTTTTTTTGGTGTGGTTACAATTTACCACAATCAAAGGAAGGGCAGCAACATAGAATTACAACAAACTATATGAAAATACCACCAAAGTTATTGTTCATGTATCAATTTCAATTATTCAAAGAGGAACGAGAATTGTTAAAACTGAGATGTGCAGAAAACTAGGGGGGGAGACTTAACACATTATAACAGCACAGCCTACCAGTGTTCCATTGGCAAGGTTACAGTAGAAGAGATGCAGAGCTCAATATAGAAGCTCCTCGAAAACTGGATCGACATTGTGTCCCCATTTCCCATTGTACAATTCCAACAGCTTTTCAGCTGGTGTCACGCCTGTAATAGAGATTAAAGCAATTTACGGGGCAAGGAAATTGAGTGCGTATATACTTTTAAAAAATTGGCATATTGGCATTTGTTCTCACCTGTTCTAGCTACTTCAGTCACCTCATTCAAGAAGCCAGACTCCTTGAAGCCTCTTCTCTCTAAGCCATCCTGAAGTGTGGGAATTTTTGTTTCAGGCTCAACAGTAGTGGTGCCAATAATAAGACCAGCACTCACAATAGAGGAGAATAGTTCTGCTAGACATACCTTTGCTATCTTAACAATATCTTGAGCAATGTGCTTCACCAACCCATCACGAAATGGAGTATTGAGACCGGTTTTTGGAACCTAGTTAAAATCTTAGATTAATGAGAATGTTCCTTGCCTGAAAAATAAACTCCGAAATACAAGCAAAATATTCATGGACTTCATTTCGGCTATGGGCATCTTGAGAAGAACAGAGAATAACAGCCTCTTACAAACTTGCATTGGTCAGACAGTAACCATAGGTCCACAATACGTGTCCCCATAATATGTGGATCCTGTCCTGTTGTTGAACACACTATATTCATAGCAGAAACACACACACACACACACTGAAGATCACATAAGGCATAAACAAACACGACAAGACATGCAATTTCGTAATAACTTTTAGGATGGAAAGAGAGAATTGTGCTAATGTTTGAGCAGAAATTTCAACTCCTCAATGGAAAACCATCAATTTACAAAATCAGAATGAAGGTGGCAGTGTCTGCCAAGCTTCTCACGAGTTGCAATCAGCAATCAAATAGAAAATAATTTCCCCTAAGATCCAATTACCTTATTCCTCAACATCTGTCTTTCTTCGGATGTCCAATCAGCTGTTATGTCTAAAATATTTTGCAGGGAAACTTCGTCATATAATAAACCAACCTGACATTTTGAAGATAACATTAGCAACATTCGATTCTATAGGTAGAATATTTGCAGATCAAGTAATAAACATTGATGGAATGATGATGTGTTCAAGAAACACACTAAAAGAAGTTAAAATAAGGAACCGCACCCAGACAAAAGAACAACCCCAAATTTATAAGCATCTTACTTAATAAGATACACATTACATCCATGGTTAAGTAGTCTACATAGCCTTATTATATCATGAAGATTACCCAAAATGCTGGCAGAGCACATAATCTCCTCCAAGGGCCTCCATCACTACCTCTCATCTCCAAATATCTCTTCAGTCTGACCTGAGTTGTGAGGGGAAAATAGATACAAGAATTAGGTCACAACAAGCATAATGTTGGAGCAACTTGACCATATAATACCTCTGGAAATATCGTAGTCAAATGATTTTCCCAATCAGTAAGGGTAGGAAACTGTCCAAGAACTGGAGCGAGCTTTCCTGCCATAAAGTCCTGCAGAAAGACAACCCAAAAATGTTTGGTTATAAATAACTTGAAAATAAAAATTAAGATGGATGGAAAGGAAGAGATGTAGAAAGCTTTGCAGCACAACTACGAAGGGTAACTGCATACCCTGAAGGACATTCCAGAACAGTCAATATACTTCTTATTCCGATATACGAAATACATTGGAACATCAAGAGCATAATCAACATACTTCTCAAATCTGCATTTTCAAAATATCAGGTTTGAATAACCACAACCCCAAAGAAGAAAGCTGAAAATGATGATTACAAGTAGTTGCATAGACTAGCGCATCAAGGGACTGCAAAGTAACATGATAAAATAGGAAAGAACCACAATTTCATCAGAAGAATCCTTGAACCCCATAGTAAAAAATGAAGATATTTTTCTAACAGAGCAAGTGGAAGCCTGAAGTGAGGAGCAGAGTTTTCTCTTTCCGCCTTTTTTTTTTTTTTTTTTTTTTTTTTTTTTTTTTGAGGTATAGAAACATTAAACGTTCATTAAGTAGGGAAAAATGCATGAGGTAAGAGAAGATTATAACCTATGACCCAAGTTCAAACGATATAATAAAAAGGGTCTCTAATTGACATCAAAGGAAAAAGGAACTCACAATAAAAACCTTAGTCTAGAGATAACAAAGAAAAGGCTACAGAAGACATTAATTCCAAAAATCAACACGACGTTCCTCTACTCATAAAAATTTCAAAATTTTCAAACAGTTTTGACTTCAATCAACCAAGCTAGTACTTTGTTGAGATAAGAAACCAAATAAGCTTCATTGAACAGTTGTGATGCATGCTATGAACTACCAATTGGTTTCTCAAACACATGAGTCTCCACTTTCTACAATAAAAATAGCAATGCATTTTTTTTTTTTTTTTTCTAAAATATCAGTGACTGTTTGGGACAGTTTGCACACATTTCAACATATATTTGAAGTACTCATATGAAAGGGCTTCAGTAATAGAAATGATAGATTACCCAAAGGAGTCATCAAAAACAAATGGAAGCATGCCAGAGCGGTTATTATCAGTGTCGGTCCAAATCTGGCTGTTCAAATGCAAAAAAACAATTCATTGCAAAAGGGACGAAAAAAGAGGATTTAAACGAAAAGAAACAAGAGCTGGGTAGTGATAGAACCTTCTCATGCTCAAATAACCATTTGGCTTTCCTTCGGTAAATGGTGAATTGGCAAAGAGAGCAGTTGCTATCTGTTCACTTATCCCAGAAGTTAGACACAGTAGATAACGTTTAGAAAGAAAAGAAATGCAAAGACAGGGTTTCTCACAGGTTGTAAAGCAAGACCCACTCGAAACTTTTTGATCATGTCAGCTTCTGAATCAAAATCTAGATTAACCTAAAAGAAGGATCAGACAGATGCTTGAATAATTGGTCTGATTTAGAAAAAGTAGGTTTTTTGTAATTATGTTTATGCCTCACCTGCACAGTGCATGTCCTAAACATCATATCCAGTCCAAGTGAACCAACTTTGGGCATGTAATTCCTCATTATCTCGTATCGTCCCTAAGACCAAATTACTATTAATGTAAAACATGTAAGGAACGCAAAACATAGAGAGAGTATTAGTGGAATAGGCATGTAAGGAACCAAGTCCAAAGCAATATATAATAATGGAATGCCAAAGACATATTGAACAGGAATTTTGTTTAATTAAAAACTAGATTTAGTTTACAGTTATACCTTGGGCATTATAGGTATATCCTCCCGTCTCCATTTAGGCTGGAATCCGATTCCTAAAAATCCAATACCCATTTCCTCAGCAACAGCTTTCACCTAGAGAAAATAACTATATAGTAAGATCATTGACAATTAAAAAGCCAATACACACCTCATCTAGATATTTGAAATCAAGACTCTACAATCCTTCTGCATCAAGCAAATAATTAAGAGATGAATGCTTGGAACTGCTGAAAAATAAAATGTTGACACAGGCATCAAGAATAAACAGAAAATGGCCACAACCCACACAGGACCGACATACAGCAAGCACAAACCTGGTAAAGATGTGAATTAACTTCAGCACAGGTTTGATGCAAAGTTTCAAGAGGGGCACCACTGAGTTCAAATTGACCACCAGGCTCCAGTGAAATACTTTGCTTTCCCTAGTTTATAGTAAAATCTCGAGTTATTCAAATGAATTCAAAGGAACAAAATGAAAATATTCCTCCATAAGGATATCACCAGAGCGTTTACTAAGGGAAAATATTATTGATTCACATACACTATTAAACAAGTTACATAAGGTCCATAGAAGCTAAGTTGTTGTTTCCCCTTTGTTTACAGGCAGGGGATGCGGTTTACCTGCTGGAGCCCTATGATGTTGTCACCCTCCATTATTTTTTCCCAGTCAAACCTCTCGGCAATCCCATTAAGCAACCCAGCTATTTGGTCATACTTCATGGGACGTAAAGTTCCAACCTCAAAACCAAACTTCTCATGTTCTGTACCAATTCTGCAGGGAACTCAGGATTAAATTATCAAAATTGGATCCAATATGATAAGGTTTTCAAATAGCAGTAGAACAAATAAAGAAACAATCAAAACACACACACACACCCATACACCCCGATTACCGTAACTGGCAATAAAAGGTTAAATGCAGGAACCGGATAGAGGGATAATATCTCACTAATGAGCTAAAAAGATACATTGAACAGGATTAAGGATGAAGGAGTACGCCATACACGGAAAGAGAGCAACAAGATATGAATCGGATATGCATCTAACTCTAATTCAAACCTTCTGAAATTTAGACCTGAAGGCTTATAGTCAAATGAACATACGATTCATAAGATAAACAAACAACTACAGTGAGGAAATCGATTCAGTTAGGTTAGCCACTCAAACGAGGGTTTTCTGATTTAAATACGGGGAGGCATATGAAATATTAACCTCCATTTTTCCTTCGGCTTGCATCCAGAAGCTAGATAAGCCACGAGATCCTCTTTTGTCAACGGTTCAGTAGCCACTGTAGCGTCCTCAGTCGGAGGACTCGCAGCAACAATCATCCTGCCTCCGAGCTTCGACGCCATCCTCACTCTATCTACATGCAAACCATGCGTAATATTACCAGAGCTACACGATAGAGAAGACGAACCAATAGGATTGTCCTTCATCTTCAACGACTCCATATGAGTCGGCAAGTTGAAAGCCATACTTCCTCCTCTGCACCGTACAGTTCCAGCACCAATCCGGTGAATCGAACCAGTGTTTGAAACAAGAGCCATAGCGCGATCCTAAACAATGTGCAACCGCTCAGTTACTATCAATTCCGAAGAAAAACCGTAACAAAACAACAAAAACAAATCCATACAACAACAGCTACACAGAAACGATGACAAAAACCGAAAACCAAAAGAAAATTCAACTACATGACACACACACACAAAATAAAAAAATTGATCGAACAGGGAGATGTTTTCGGAATTACATGCGCAAACAATTACCGGAAAGAGTATAATTCTTCGGCGTCGAATAGGAATTCGTTTTAAGAGATTTGGAGAGCGAGTGATGGAGGCGAGAGATGCCGAAACAAACCTCTCTCTCTCTCTCTCTCTCTCTCTCTCGTGTAATGAAATGAAGAAATAGAGAAAGAGAAAAATGCTTACAGAAATAAAAGAAGGTGGCCGGATAAAGTGCGGCGCGGTGTACCGTTTTACTCTGTTCCACTTATCTTATCGCGAAAGTACCGAAATCTGAACCAGGAGTTTTTCTTCTTCTTTACTTTTCTTCGATTCACTTCCACACAGACTGGCGGAGGCGACGGCGGCCGACGCACTGGACCACTGAAACGGAGGAATTGGACGGTGTTAAGGAGGCGGAGCAGGTGAGGGTGGCAGAAAGATGAGAGGGTTTGGTTTTCTCTTCCTTTTTATTTTCTTTTATGGAAACTTCCGCTTCTGGAATTCTAATTTGATTTTGATTGCATTTTATATATATTCTCATCTCTAATTCCCTCTGTATCAATTAACAAACCCTAATAATAATATTATTATTATTATTTTATTTTATTTTTTGAGAAATTCTCTGTGTTACATCATTGTTTGTTAAAGTTTACTAGGTTGCCTTAAATATTTGTTTTCATTCATTACATTTTCTGCTTTATTTTTTAATGCTGATTCGCTGTCCTATTTTTATTCTTTATATATATATATATATCTGAATTATTCCAACTTTATACCATTTTTTTTAATTTCAATATTTATATTTTACGTTATATAACGAGTAAAATTACTCTAAATTTTTAGATGAAAATTAGAACGTTAGCAACGTGATAATTAGTAATTAAAATTTATGTCCGACAAATTCGTGAACGTACCTCATTATCAGACGTTCGCGAAAAATAATTCCCTTAACTTGCTCACCCGAAAAATTTTATTTTTCAAGTAAAAATACTTTAAAATTTTAGACGAACATGACAACTAAAAATTAAATTTTGGGTAATTTAGCCAATATGCTTCATTGTCAAATGTTCGGGTTTTCACTTTTGTTTGTTGTTGAACTAAAAATAATCTTATTAACTTGTTCACCCGAATATTTTTTATTTTTTTGGTATATTATGGGTTGACGATGTTACGGAACATAATTTGTAGTTATAAGGTGTCTATCGTGCCACATATGCGTGGAACTGAACTAACCGGCTAACAAAAAAAAAATGATGTGTCTATGTAGTTATAAGGTGTCTATCGTGCCACATATCGTGCCACATATGCGTGGAACTGAACATAATTTGTATGTAACGGTCTAAGCCCAACGCTAATAGACATTATCTTCTTTGAATTTTTCCCTCTCAAACTCCTCCTCAAGATTTTAAAAACATGTCTCGGTTGCTCGCACTCTCGAATATCATCATGCATTTGGTGGTATGATGTGCTTGGAAAATGATATCAGAGCCATAAACTAAGCGATATGTTAGCGAAAACGCTAGATTCTCAACGGAAGTGGATTGTGAGATCTTGTATCAGTTTGAGAGGGAAATGAAACATTATTTATAAGAATGTGGAAACCTTTTTTTAATAGATGTGTTTTAAAACCGTGAGACTAACAACGATATGTAATGAATCGAAACGAATAATATCTGTTAGTTGTGGACTTTGGTTGTTAACGTATAATTTATATATAAATATAATTTTGTTGTTTTTATTCATGAAATTTAAATTTTTGAAATTAATTTTAGTAGCATATTAATATTTATTATTAATTAGTAACAAAAGCTGACGTCACAATACATTTTTATTTTTATTTTTTAGTTTTGAATTAATAAACATGTTATTAAAATTTATGGGGACGAAGCCTTTTTCATCTTTCTCTCTCACCTTTTAATTTTTCGATAATTTTTTTTTCATTTATATATATAATTATTTTTTAAATATATTTGACCATTGTTATTTACGGACAAAAATATAATATTATGTTAAATATAATTACGGGCAAAAATATAACATTTTTATTTATTTATTTACTCCGTAAATAAATATTTATGCATGTTTGTATTTATATACAAACAATGTGAGAAGTAGCGAGATAAAGTATGAGTATAGATAGAATAGTAAAATAATCTATATCTCGAGCCCTATTTAACGAAGATTTAATATTTATTTTTATTCAATATATTAAAAATAAATGGTTATTTTATTTTGAATTTATTAAAGTATAATAATTTTAAATTAGCTGCTGTAAAAACACTACTTAAATATTAAATTAGATACGCCAAAAAAATAAAATAAAATAATTAAATGTAATTATATTAAAATAATATACAAAGTATTTTTCACTTTTAATCTATTAATCATGTAATTTCTTTTTGTTCTTATAATTACCCATTAAAATTAATGAAAATTAGCAAAATTAAAAATTTGAAAATTACTTGCAAAAAAATAATAAAATAATTCATTGCATATTTAATAAATTCGCTAATTTAAATTATTATTTATGAGCTTTAAAATATTGAAAATGACCTGTGAGTATTAAGCAAGCATATAAATTATATTAGTTGTCATCATTGCTTGCTTTTAATATTATTTTCCTTTTTAAACTTTAGTCTTTATTAATGCTGTTATGTTCCATTGGAGTAATAATAATGATTAAAAACTTTATTTTTTTTTTATTACACCATGATTAATTAATTGATTAAAATATTATAACATCAATCAAATTAAAAATAAATAAATAAAATTCTCCACCGACCCAATTTGTCTACGACACATTATAGTTCAACTATGCAACGGTCGATTTTAATACAGTAAATTGAGTATATGGTGTTATTGGTAGGGTTCATTTTTTCGAGCAAATAAAAGCGTGGACGATCATAGAGCATAATTTAATTGTTTGTATTCACCGTTACGATACTAAATGTTGAAAATAAAAGGTAGCTTTCTCTATTTGTAGTTTTTATGGGCTCGACATTGGTTGACTTTGGTCAAACTTTCGGGTTTTTTTTGGGCTTGACCCAATTCTTTTCAATGGGCTCACCCAATACCTTTTCAACTACCTCGACTAAATTAGCTTCAAGTTCAATCCTCATATTTAATTTTTTTATTTTTATATTATCTTAATTCGAGTACGTGTATTTTTGTAATTAATCCCAAATTTATCAACTTATGTGATTAATTTAAATAAATGACGTGAAAGTCTTGTTACTTCTCATTGTATTAAAAAATATAAATCTTATATGGTCTTTAAGTTTATATTGATTATAGGGGCTCGAATGTAAATTTTTTAACGCAAAGGATCAAATTGAAAACTGTCAAATAGTAGGGACTGATTTGAAAAAGAAAAAAAACCAAAGGTATAGGGGTTAAAATAGTAATTTACTGTTATTTTGTCACCAATAGGCGGCGGGGTTTAGAGAGTGCAAAGAGGTGTGAGAGTTGGTTCTTATCGCATAAAGGGGTTAAAATAGTAATTTCATGTCTTTTTTTTTTTTTTTTTTCACGGCGGCAGGGTGTAGGGAGTACGAGAGAAAGCGTGGCGAGTTACTTGTCACCGGGTTCACATCCTATAAAAGCCCTTTCTCGGCTGACGCTATTGCTTCCCCGCGAAAATCAAATTCCATTTTTTCTCAATTGAGACGAAAATTCCAGACATAACAGAGATTCGAAGACCGATACTTAGCCATTGAGACGATACCGTCGCCCATTTCACGATGGGGAACCGAAGATTTGCGCAGGTTTCCACTAGCGATGAGGAAGACGAAGTACCAGTTACGAAGCAGCAACCTTCCAATTCAGACGACAACTTGTCAATTCGTAGGAAGAGGAAGAAGATGAAGCTTCTAGAGGAGGAGGAGGAGGAGGAGGAGGAGGTGGAAGGGGACGAGAGGCATCGCAGGAGTAGAAGAAGTAGTAACAAGGGAGAGAAGGAGGTGGAAGCGTCGAAACGACAGCAGGCGGAAGATGAAGATGAGGATGATCAGTCGCAAGAGGATGCGAAGCCGATTGGGGATGCTGTTAGGGTTTCTGGGAAAGGGAGGGGACGGAAGAGCCACTACAACGCGTTTGAATATGATGGGAACAAATATGATCTTGTGAGTTACTTTGTGTTATTGGTTGGTTGAATTTTGGTGTTGCAATAGTTTTGAGAACCCTACTTAGTTTGTGGTTTTTTAAAGATGTTTAGTAAGCCATTTAGTATTTGAAGTTGTATGACTTGAGACAAATGCGAGAATGAAGGCGTCAAATGTGGAGACCTGTAGTCGGTGGTAGCTAGGGCTTGTGGTGTAACCCTAATTCGATGGCATCGTGCTCTGAATTTGTTATCGTGTGCATTTTTTCTGTGATCATAGAATACTTTGTAGTTTCGTTCACGTCCACGACATGAAACGTTTAAAAAGATGGTAGTATCTCCTTTTGTGCTTCATTAGTCGGCACTATGTGGCCTTTGGTTCATACCTTTTCTCGTTGAATTCTAGATATTGTGCTGAAGTGTAACGAGAAGCTGCTCGTTATAATTGTTCTCCAGTGAAGACGAACTTCAGCCACTCCACCTTCATCACTGTTTGTTCTTATTAATTTCCTTCTAATTGTTGGCAGGAGGATCCGGTACTTCTAGTTCCTGAGGACAAGGATCAAAAACCTTATGTGGCAATTATTAAGGTAATGTATGTCCCGGAATTTTGTGATTTACACTTATGTTATGCACGTTGCTAGGTGATCTACAATGCTTTTATTTGAACCAAGTGGTGTTTCTTTTGGCAGTTTCAGGGTGTCAAAATTCTGAGGTCAATATTCATATTTTCGTGAATTGGTTCTTTGTGTTTGTGGAAGTGCATTAGAATGTTTTTTTTAATGGATGAAACAAATGGAGCGAGCTCCCTTTTTATTTTTTATGAACTGCTTGAGTGGGTGCCTGTGCCTATCCCATCTGCGTATGAGGAGATGTGTATCCAAATGGGGTGTTCACTAAACAAATTCAAAGGCAATAGATGATGAAATTGATTTTAGTGGCTTAATCTTTTTCCATCCTCTCTTTGTAGGAAACATTTATGTAATTATGTCAACTCAAGTGATTGGACATATGCAATTTGATCCGTTGATATATTCTTCATTCAGTTGATCACTTCTTGTGCTGGGAAATTATCTTATCATTTTTTTATGAATACATTTCTTGTGAGTTTTATTAAGGATGCATTTCTCTTTTGTGTGGTTGATTGACATGTAAGGAAATGCTCATGATCAACTGTCATAGATTGACTTAATAGTCAAAGGAGCAACTTGGAAATGTAAATGCCTATGATGATATAGATTCAAACTATAGTGACTATTTATGTTTAATATTCTATGATTTTTTCAACTCTGAAAGTTGTAGGATTAGGTGATGCCAACTTGAGCATATCATTGGTTAAGGCATATATCTTGGATCAGGAGGAGCAAGGCTCAAATCATCACCCTACATTTGAACCCAAAAAAAGTTGTAAGGTT